AACCCAGCTCTCAGGTATGCTTGGTAAACATGCACGGGCCCGTGAAAATTTTGTTCCAGTAAGTTGGTAACTCAAGGGCCACGGAATCTAGAAAGCTGAAATTTTAAGGGGATGCTTCCTGACAGTTCTGGCGGCTAGTCTTAGTTTGTCTAGCTAGAAGCATTTGCCGAAAAACGGTAGCAACAAAAACTGCGGGGAACCATGCAAAAAACGCATCTTCGCACGGGCAGCCCGTGCGTTCGCCAATTATTTTCTCCTCTCAAAAGGATTTTTGAGATCAGTTCAAGAACTATGTTATCAAAATCGATATTACACTATAAATTACCATGCAATTCCTTTCATTTTGGGGGTATTTTTCAGTGACACTGCGAAGAAAAAATATTTTAGCTGTTGATTTCCTCAAATAAAAAATAAAGTTTTTTTTTTTCACATAAAGAAAAAATACTATATAACGGAAATGAGCAGAACGGATTTTCTGATCATATCTTATCTAAAAGTGCCTCGAAAAAAAGCAAGCTAAAGACTTACCGACGCGAGGAAAAGCACTCGATAGAAAGAGTAAACAAATAATCGACTGTCATTACAAAAATCGTAGTGCTTTCGTAGAAATCGCGCACAAATCTCATAAAAACTTCTCAAGCCCGAATAAAATCTAAAAAATTCAACACGCATAAGGACGTATGGAGTTCAAATAAAGGAACCAGTAGCTTGAAAGTCTACACACTTTTTTTAAAAAAAAGACACAAACATCACCGTACGGAACAATGTTTTGAAAAAATTTGGTTTGATTAAATATCAGGATAATACATCGCCAGAACTAGTACTTTTATCTGTCGCATACCAAATTATTTTTGCTTATTTTAAAATATTCCACTTCGATAATTATCGATATAAGTTTAGAAAACATAAATTATGTTTTCTAAACTTAGATATTAAGCCCTTCAAAATACTAAGCCGACTATAGCAACCACGCTGACCCCAGAAGCCTAAAAAGCAAAGGCGCGACAGATTACAACATGACAGAACAATATGAGAGAAGGTAAGAGCGAGATAAGACGTTTCGGTCCATTAATTCATATACGCCTTAAATCAGCACCACGATAAGACCTCATCAGTATTAAGGTCGCAATGTTTAATGGAAAAAGAAAAGAGAAAAACGACAAAAAGAAACCGAAGAGAAAACAATATGATTGTGAGATTAGGAGTGAGAGCCGGGCGAAGAGGAAAGGGGAAGGGAAGGAAGGAAAAAAATATTTTAAAAAAGGAAGTTTTTTTTTAAAAAGTTAGTTTTTTAAAAAGTTTTTTTGATGGACCGAAACATTTCTTGCCATTCTAATATTTTACTTCTACTAATTTCACAGTATTATTTTCTCTTGTCTTCTTCTTCCGACTTTAAAATATTCTCCAATTTTAAAAAAAAAATTTTTAAAAAGTTATTAAAAATATTAAAAGATTTAAAAGGTTCCTTTAAAAAAAGATCAATAGCAAACCTTGATTATGCAGATTTTCTTATATTACTGGAACTATTGAGTTTTTGTGAGGATGCGAAGAATATGATAAAAAAGTTTAGATATGATTCACTGATTTACTATGTTAAATTTGCTATCACAACGCAGCAGTAATGAGAGTTAGTAATGTTATGTATTATGTTTTCGCATCGGATTACAATATGTACATACAATTTTAAATATATTTACTTATACTGATCTATTTATTGGTTTTATTAAACAGGAGATTTATGTTATGGATACGACGTGTGACGAACAGGTAAGCAATTGTACTTTTTATTTTACAACATTATACTTTTTATTCTTTTCTCTATCTGCTTCCCTATTTCTCTAAGAATTCTCAATTCTTCTTTTCATTTCACTTCTTTCATTTTCCAATTTTAGCATTATTACCATTACTTAATTCTTTTCCATCTCAATCACTTTTCATTCTTAACTAAAAAATGTAGTGTTACCACAGTCGTCGCAATGACGAGGTCCAACTGTGGTAATGGTAAGAAATGTATACGACTTAATGGACCGAAACATTTCTCACCTGATTTATTACTTCTTTTTACATCTTTCCCTTTTTGACTCTTTTTTGACCTTTTCTATAATCCATTTCTCCATTTTCTAACAAAATT